TTTTGTGAATTTGTGATGAAAAGAGGGAACTGGGAGTGAAAAGGCTACATGTACGCTGATTCTGTTTGTTCTGATAAACTATCTTTTAGACAATTTTTGATGAAAATACAAAAATGTGATGAAAAGTACTGGTAAAGTACAAACTTGCTACGTAATTTCCACTCCATTTTGAAAAGTTTCATCACCTCCTCTTGCTCTCATTGCCCCTTCCCAATCAATGCATCTTAAAAATGGTTGACAATTAGAAACTTGGTGGGAGGGCGTGAAAAATGTATAAAACATATTGAAAAATTTGATGAAAAAAATTTATAGGAAAATAATATTACCTATACCTTAAATTAAAAAAAAAACAATTACAGAAACATCATCCTTGAAATAAACTAGCTCAACCCAAAATGAACGAAAAAAAAAAATTACTAATTTTGATAATCTACAAAAAACAAAACAATTCTGTAACAATAACATACAATTTTTATACTGTAATTATAGAAAAATCACATGCAAAAATTTACTTTTGAAAATATGACTTTATTGGCAGAATAAATAACTTATTATTAAAGTGTACTTCACCAAGACATTAAACTTCTTGTATTAATGATATAGAGGTTATCTCCTGACAGGTGTATACAGCTGTATATACAAATATAAAATGTCCCAAATAACCTCCGAGAATATCAAAGATGAGAGGGACTATATAATAATGACAGACACAAAGTATTACAAAAACCTTGCACACTCGCCCAACCCCACTTGTCAAATGGTTGGGGCAATGTACGTATGATTTATAATCTCAAGTTTAGAAGTCTAGGCACAACCATTTGTCAATATACTGTACTGAGTCAATTTCTGGGTCACCTCGCCTTTGGCCTCATTCCATAGTAATCAGGCAGGCTTTCAACAAGCAGTATTTGCACAAAGTTCGGGAGAGGCTGGATAAAAACGAATTTAAAATAAAAAAAATTGGATGCCAATAGACACTGGTATTATGTGTTCTGAATGATGTGAAGTACTTCATACTCAACAAAGTTCAGTATGAAGAATATAATCACATGAACTCTTGACCTTCTCCTCCAAATCTAAGTTTCATAAAAACACATGGATCTAATCAGTTTAAGTCAGATAGTAGGAGAAGAACACACTGTATACAGAGTTTAAAAGTTCAATTTGCTAGTACAATATACTATTGACAAAACAAATATATTCATTTTTATAAATATTAATTATTTTCAGTGGCAGCTGAATCAAACCTACCAAAAGTGCAGACTGCAATGACGTCATTTGACAATATTATAAAGCTATTCAATCAGCCAATGAAAATGTCTCGTTTCAGTTTGAACTTTGAAAATTTATAAATATTTATAAAAATGAAACAATGGGTTTGTTGTGTTGACAGTATCATTATGTCAGAATTCAAATTTAACTCTTTGAATATCATTACTTTTCCCACCAAATTTTAGTGCAACATTTGGGTGTATTTTTCTTTGTTCATTTTGGACCAAATGGAAAAATTCACTTCCCTTGCATACATATACACACTTGATTATTTTTTTGGGAGAAAAATATAAAATTTATTATCTAGTGGAATATGACAAATGTGAATTTGGCGTTCAGAAAGTTATAACCACAAACCTTATTTACAAGCAACTGAATGCAGTTTTGCGAATATGAATTATTCTTGTTGCAGTGGAATGAGACTTGTTGCTCAATCGATTTTTAACTTTATTATTTAAATACATGTTTTTTTATCAGAATTTTAGAAAAAACAAAAAAATGTAAAATCATGTAAAATCAAATCAACATATGTTTTATGAAAATCTAAACAAAACATTATTAAAAAATGTGAGCACATATCGATTTTGGGAACGAAGCGACCAGAAAATTACCTAGTTTCCGTGGAAACAATAATGTTGTAATATTCCCTAGAATTAAACTCTACTGTAGCATCCATTTCAAATTGGAAGCTCCATATAATCAAAGTTCATAATCTATTATGTTTTTTTTTTTAGACTTTCAATTTGCTTGCAGCCAGTTCAGAGGAAAACTCCTGTCTCAAACAACACACATCTTTAAATATGGAAAATAATATGTTTGTCACTTAACTTCCATATTTTACAGTTTTGAACTATAAAAAAGGCCACCAGTTGACCATATCTAGATAATAAATTTTTAGTAGAAACTGACCACTACTAATTGTGGAGTAAACACTGTATTGACACCTTGATGTTACAAAAAGAGCGCCCTCAACAACACAGTCATTAAAATCACATGGACTTTGTTTTATACCATGATTACCTAATTTTGCTTATTAAGTCATTATTACACTGCATGGGTTCATGATTTCTTTTGTTGACAATCATCCAATAGATACTTCTGTAGCAGTACGGCAACAACATGCACATTTAAACTGTTTCCAAGTAAACGATATCTTTGCTTCAAAGAAATAGACTCTGGAAAACCTGTAAAAATAAAATCACATGATTTTACATACTGTGGATTACTTTATTTTCGATTGAATTAATTTTCACTGAAAAGGCTTTTTGGGCATTTTATATTGTGAAATATAGGAAAAAAGTATATTCGCTGGATTTTATTTTCACGGAATCATCCTTTCAGCGAAAATAAATTCCAAGCGAAAATAAAGTATTGTCACAAGATTGATTTGAAGTAAGTCAGGTATGTCCCAGTCTTGAGAGTTCTGAAGTGCTTCACGCATGCTCTGTTTTTGTTGGATTTATGTGACAACTGGGTGCCTCAGGACAGTTTTTATTGTCCCTGCTCGCAGTGCTGGTGAAGTTTTGCGAAACGATCGCTGATGGCAAAAACATTAATTGTTTATATTCTCAAACATAAAATGCAACAGTCAAAGTTTTTAAGTAAATTTTATACATTTACACAAATTTCACTTGCATAGATAAAATCATGTGACACAATTTACCTCAATTATGTTTGCTGACACAAGGATCTTTTTTTTTTCCATGTGGTGCTACTGCCATGGCAGTATATAGTAATCAGGGGCAACTTGGTGCGCGCCACAAACATACTCTTAAATTATTTTGTACTTTTTTTCAATAATACAATATGGAATGTTAGAAACAGATTGACATAATTTTTAATTCATTATGACACTTTTGGGACTACATTATATGTGTCAGAATACATACTTTTGTAATGGTGTTATATGTCACCAGATCACCTGATTGTATTGATATGTAATAAGTAGTGCCGTTGGTGTTGGTGTAACTGAAAATGGCGAAATAAACAAGACGTAAAAGCTCTCTGGTTTCTTTGATGTTTTTTGTATTTCTGAGTCAACACACCATATTCATATTATTCTGTACTGGTCTGTTGATGACCTGAATATGAGTCGAAAATTACCGTTGCTAGGGGATATTTATGACAAAAACACAAATGAGATTGGCTAAATAATTATTTAGCGAAAAGGGGGTTCATCGTGAATCACAAAGATAACAATACAAAGTGGTAAATAAACAAATTATGCTTAGACTGGGATGGTCCCCAGTGAGCCTTCAACTGTGAACAGTCCGTAAAAGGAATAATCCTGGAAAAAAGAAGCTAAAGTTAATATGCGCTGCATAAATGAGAGTACCGTAAGTATGTGATGAAGTAGTAGCAGCAATGGCTACTACGGTACTATGTGAAGAGACAGCGTGACTGTTATTCATGAAAGATTAAGGAACGTGGCTGCATGATGTTATTAGTGGAGACAGCGATGTCACAACCACAGTGGTTACTAGTAGATATAGCAATGGCCATATTTACCTGTTGGCATAGCAGCTGGGCTGTAAATATGAGATACTGTTTACTGAAGAGGTGAAAGATGTTGCAAAGACCCACTGTAGATCTATCTTGAGGCTACAAGAGGCTAATGAAATTAGTTTTTAATTAAAAACCCAAATAAAGCAACATTGTTGCTTAGTAACTCCCCTTGAGTATTACAACCGCTGGAATTCATCAGAGGTGCTGTATCCATGCGGTCTGTTTGTGGGTCTGTTTTCAGGAATGTTAGCATCATCGTTTAATGGAGTGACCATGGTGTTGTATACTTGGTATATTTCATGCTTAAGTAATGATTCCTTTGCCAAACCAGGTTGTAAAACTATCCCAAACTCCTTTAGTTTTTGTTGAATGTCTGTTGCGTCCAATTAACTGGATTACTGCAGTCGTAAAATAAATTATGTTGCTGTGTTTGACGTCGAAGTTTGAGATGACCCATCAACATCAAACTGGTGGAGACCGTCGGAGACTGCCAATCATGAACTTCTTTTGCCGTTTTTGTATCTAGTGAAGTATCAGTGTTTGCTCATCTTTGTCTACCCCTATGTCAAGTAGAGTATCCATGATCCATTGTACCAATGTGAAAAGTGTTGTTAAAAAAAATTCAATGAAGAAAAAACACAAGTTCTAAAAAAGCTGCTGCAAGTTAAATTGTCTGCTTAGAACAAAGATGGTGCTAAAACTGTTTCACACCAAGTAACGCAAAAGAGAAACAATATTTGAATCATAAACACTGTTCAATGCATATGAAAAAACAAGCATTAATCAATGGTTACACTTACTGAATTCCGGAGGGAAACACATCAAGTTAGCAACTTCCCTGGGAGTGAAATATCGGAGTTGTAGATTTTTCAGCAATGATATTCTTTCATCATCATCATCACTGGGGGATTTTAAAAACTTTTCAAAGGCTTTTTTAGTCTGAAAAAACAAAAAAAAGGTTTTTATTCAAATTGTAATGAAAATTGGTAAAATTTGTATGCACATTATAAGAGATTGGTTACTTAAAAATGTAATAAAAGATTTCATGTACTGTATTGGCTCGACTACAAGCCTATCTCCAATTAAAGTGCACATACATCGAAGTGACGAATTTTTGTGAGATAGAGAACACCACAAACGTTTGTAGCGGTAGCAGTAAAAATTTTGTTTGGAATGATCTATAGAGCCAGTCGCGGAGATGCGTCATGTCAGAAATTACAAACGATGGATATAAAGCACTGTTATCTCGAACATCATCTAATTATCATGTCAAGAAAATTGTTAACAAGAAAATGGAATGTTTTACAGAATTTTTCTTATTATCTATAAATGCCACTCATTTTTAAAGCAATTGTCATATTGGATATGAATTTGCAATTGAACAAATATATAATTATTACAACTCTCTATGGATGTGATACCAAAGATGGTTTAATAATTTGAAAAAGTGTGTCCATTTCACTGATTTTAGGCTTATCATATCTCATCCAAGTTTGCATGCCTTTAAAAATTATCTGCCTTTCATGTTTCCAGATTGTAATCTTGAAGTACTAGAAATAACATAAACAATATGCTGAATAGTATTTTGATCATTTTTCCCATCAAACATTTTGATAACTTATTTTGCACAGTTTTATCTATATAATTTCTTGCTACAAATACAAAATCATGGAGAAAAATATACAAATTTTATTTTGTGAAAATTTTATTATGTGAAAATTTTATTTTGTGAAAATTTTATGTGAAAATTTTATTATGTGAAAATTTTATTTTGTGAAAATTTTATTATGTGAAAATTTTATTATGTGAAAGGTGAAAAAATCAGCACAACATTGAAAAGATTATTTGAGTTCAATTGCTCATTGCTTACTTACATCAGCCGTTGTGTTCATTTGATAAACCGATCCTGTGCCCTCTACATAATGGTGATATCTGGGGGGGAAAAAATAACAAGCAATATTGATGATTGATTTTTCGTAGTTACTGTGTGCATTAGTTCAAAATATCCATGTCACAGTTTTTGAGTCAGAATTGTATAAAAAATGAAAGGAAAGTTAAATTTTCTAATAAAAATAATTTTAGAATGAAGTGTGAACTATTATGTGCTGTCTTTGTACTGAATTATATGCACAAACAAAGAAAAGTAAACACTGAAAAATCAAATTTAATACACATTTTCAGACTACTGGTACATCCAAACAGGAAAGAGCAAAGAATTATATAGTCATGGAAATATATTATAATGTAGTGAAAATATTCACTGTGTTTAATTGCAATGGAATTGATGGTGATATGGCAGAGTTATTCACTAGAATTTTAATTCACTGGTGTGTGTGTGTGAAAGGAAACAATATATTCTATTTTTAAATTTAAATATGGTAAGCAGGATGAATTTTATGAGAGACATACATTTAAGAATTTCAAGAAATTTTGTAACAATGAATATTTCCCGAGAATCTAATGACACAGAGTGTCAGTGACTTTTACCAAAATTTGATTACATGAAAGCCAGATAATCATCAAATTCCCAGCAGTGAAGATTTATCACAGTTTACATTATTCACAGGGTGCTGATTTTGTGCATTTAACTATGTCGATATAAGTGAAAATAAAACACAGCTAAAAACCAAGCTTATACAGTATTCTACTATGTTTAGAAAAATATACGAAGATAACAAATGAGATGTCTTACGCTTTAGTAAAACAGCATGATCTCCTGCAATCAGGTTTTACTATATCCATAACTTTACCAAATCGGAATAGAATCTTATCTGGAATCAAATAGTCCGTGATATCTTGTACATCACCTTCTAAGAACTCTCGCACACATCGTATACTCTGATCATTGTGATCAATGTTGCTATTGGCAACAAGAAGATGAGATGAAGACGAAGAAGCTCCATCATCATCACATGATTCTGTTACTTTGTCAGATATGCAGCTACAATGTTCTAACAATTGAGACAATCCATCCATGGCACAATCTGAAAATTTATTACCATCAGACTTCTCAGCAGACTTTCTTACCAAGGATGGTCGTGTTTCCTGTGTACAGTCTTGGCTCATTTCAGTTAAGTTTTGTTTCTGTGGTAGTTCCTCGAGTATCTGTAGAAAGATATATGGTAATACTCATAATAGCATCATTCAGTAGAGGAAGGAGCATTATGGACTGAACCATTATTTCTAGGGGTGGACAAGTTAGAAATTGTGTGCAAATATATTTTCGTTGGTTTTGTTTTGTTCAATAAATTTTTACCAGGCATTATAGAGAACAATGTATGTTTCTGCAGAGAAAATCACTACCTTTTTTTTATTTTGTTCTATTATTAAAACCTGGTTCACCACCCCCTCTTAACCAGCAAAAAGAATGTACCATTCCTGGAGATGTGGTTCCAAGAGAGTATTTAGACACTCAACCACCAATATAATTATCACTTATGAAGTAACTCCTTTTGTCTTTAAAGTAAAAACTAACCTGATCTGTTAACTTGAAATTGAACTTGTACGGATGTCTTTTGGCAAGCAGAAAATACCTTAGTCTTGAATTAGGTATACCAAATTGATTTGGTGAGAGTAAAAATTCCTGGAGACAAAAACAAAATGAAACTGTTGAAGCATACTTTGTGATTAAAAAAATGTAGTTATGACACCACCAATGTTTACAATGGAGTCAACAAAGACATGTCAATTATAAACCAAAACACAAAATGTATAAACGCAAAGTTTTTTCAATGCCGTCACATTTTTAAACCGGAAGAGCTGGTCAAATTGTCATGTTTTGATTTGAATTACACTTAGTTCATATTTATAAATATATAAAGAATATGTTTGTTGACTCCTATGCAAAACAATTAGTACTTTGGGAAATACAACATTTAAATCATAGGGAAACAAGCCATGCATGACACAGTCCCCGTTAGTTATCAAATTTAAGATATATAGTTTTGTTTATAGTAATATAGCTGGAATATAACCATGTCAGGAATATGATTTTTTAACATTAAAATGATTGACATTTGTATCTGATCATCAAACAAGTACTTGTCCATATTGAGAGATATTGCTCTGGAACAGCATTCAAAATCAGCCGTTTTGAATACATGTATATACATACATGATGTATAACGAATATATAAAATTTGAATATAATCAGTCAAAGCATTTAAGAGATATGGCTCTAGAAGCCCACTCATTAAAACAAAATGGCCGCCAGTCAGCCATTTTGAATCCAATCTGAAAAATAAAATGACGTACATCAGGAACCTGTAATGTCTAATGTATGTACCAAGTTTGAATGAAATCCATCCATAAATGCCAGAAATGCTTGATATTTGATGATTTTTTAGCACAAAAATGACCACCATTCGGCCATTTTGAATAGGATCGTCAAACCAATATATCTGTCTATCTATGACATGATGTATAATGAATATTAAAAATTTGAATATAATCAGTCAAAACAAGTCGGAGATATGGGTCTAGAAGCCCATTCATTAAAATAAAATGGCCGCCAGACAGCCATTTTGAATATTTAAAATTTGAACATAATCAGTGAAAGTAAGTCAGAGATATGGCACAAGAACCACATTCATTAAAACTTATCTGAAAAAAAAAATTATTTGCATCAAGGTCCCATAATGTCTAATGTATATACCAAGTTTGAACAAAATCCATCTGTAAACAGCCGAGAAATGCTTGATTTTGATGATTTTTAGCACAAAAATGACCGCCATTCGGCCATCTTGAATCAGATCGTGAAACAAATTGATGTGCATATGGATAATATCATGTATGATGTATGTGTGAAGTTTGATTGTGATTGGTCCAGGCATTTCTAAGATACAGGTCCGGACGCACGCACACACGCACGGCCACACGGAGTTCAAAACATAAGTCCCCGTTTTCGGACTGCGGGGACTAAAAATGTCATTCTCTGAATCAGTCTTTGCCACAATTATATCAAATAAACATGAATTCTCTTATACTCAAGTGCCTTTCTAAGTTTCCCCAGAGTCATCCTAGTTATTTATATATTATATATAATCAGGGTTTTATGAGATAAGTGTATGCAACTTTGACAATTATCTAATGTTTGTCAGTTCTAACCAATAGCGTCACAGAACCCAGTACGTGCTTGGAAAGGTTTTTCAGTTCTAAGCAATATCATCACAGAACACCGTAGGTGCATGGAAAGGATTGTCAGTTCTAACCAATAGCATCACAGAACACAGTGGATGCTTGGAAATGTTTGTCAGTTCTAACCAATAGCATCACAGAACCCAGTAGGTGCTTGGAAAGGTTTGTCAGTTCTAACGAATAGCATCACAGAACACAGTGGGTGCTTGGAAAGGTTTGTCAGTTCTAAGCAATAGCATAA